TGTTCATAGACCACAGCCGACGAGCAGAACGTAAGTCCCGACCGAACCCTTGGTGTCGCGGTAAGTTGTCCTCCAGTGAGTAAACTCGGCTCTATCCTAATTCCAAAGCCATCCCATGAATGTAAGTTGCTTCCCCCCCCTAAAAGTGTTGAAGCCATGATGAGCGTTGTCCTCCTCCTCGGTCTGTATGTATGTTCACAAACCACAGCCGACGAGCAGAACGCGAGTCCCGACCGAACCCTTGGTGTCGCGGTAAGTTGTACCCCAGTGAAAAAACCCGGCATCATGCTCTCGTCTAGACCTGTGAATCTTCTACATAATATGCAGACCCCTCAGCCATGATGCAGCGTAGCAAACAAACCCGACATCATCCTCTAGTCTAGACCTGTCACGCTTCCACACAAAACCCGGACCCTTTGTTCCGTGGCTTGGGCTTTCATGTTCGGATTTGGATGCGTCATTGGTCTGGGCATTGGTCTGGCTGCCCAGGTCCGTCATGGCAAGCAATCGTCTGGAGTACAAGTTTCTGTACGCGGCGAACGCTGGCTGTGTGCGGTGCACGCAGTGCTACGCCGGCCTCCTAACTTCGATGTGCACTGCCGCTCTTCAAGAAAGAACGCCCGCGATTGAATGGGTGACAAACTCCGATCGGCAGATGGAAGACTTGTTGCAGCGTTTGGTGCTCTCAAGCTTGCTCTTTGCAAGTGCGCGAAGTTGCTCACCCTGTGCTGAAGCCGAATCGACGCTGTCTTGCGAAAGTTCGGCTGAGCACAACAGAATGAACATGGCATGGTTTCTATGATGTTAGTGTTTCCTGAGAACGATGTCATGCCTGCTTAAATAGTTGGTCTGGAACAGGACCTTTGGGCCCTTCAGCAGTGTGCCATGGCTCGTGTTCGCGGCGCTCGCCTGTTCTTGGTGGTGAGCTTGCTTTTGCTGCTCGGGCTTTGTGCTGCAGCGCCGAAGAAGGAGACTCCGTGTGCTTCTAATGAAGATGCTCAATCCGATGATGCTGATGAGCAGTACCGCGCCGCCTTGCATGCTGTCTTCGCTTTCATGAAACAGTACGGAACCAGCGCTGACCATTGGCAGTCGGAGTACGACGTGGCTTCGCGTCGTGTTGAAAATCTGTTAAGCAGCTTGAGCGAGGCGGACACGGAGCGCATGAACAGAGACCTTGTCATGCTTATGTCGGGAACGGATCCGGCTGCTCAGAGGGAGATGATTTTGCGGCTCCAGCTGCAGACGGTCGTCACGGAATGCGGAGGCTGGGCCTGTCGAGCGATCCCCGAGCCGGGAAATTGAAGATGTCGTGGCATCGCTTTGCAGTTGAGCGCCCCTGCCACCACCTCCACTGTGCCCACACGCTCTCACCACCGCTTCCGCCGCCCTCACAGCTCGCACCGCCCTCACCACCCCCACTGTTCTGTGAGGGGAGTTAACCGCTGTGTTTGTAGGTGTTTAAAGAGTAAAGGCTGCCAATGTGCCCGGACCCACGCCCCCACCGCCCCCACCGCCCTCACCGCCCACACCGCCCTCACCACCGCCCTCACCACCCCCACCGCTTTCACCGTTCCCACCGCCTCCACCGCCCTCACCGCCCGCTGTATTTGCAGGTGTTTAACGAGTATAAAGAGTATTTAAAGGCTGCCAATGTGCGCCCGGACCCCCCCGCGCCCCCACCGCCCCCACCGCCCACACCGCCCACACCGCCCCCATGCACCGCCCACACCGCCCTCACCGCCCTCACCACCTCCACCACCCCCAACCACCGCCCCCACCGTTTTCACTTCCAATCCCCTCGCGCCCACACCGCCCCCGCCCTCACTGCCCACCTGCCTTTGTAGCACCACCCCTACCACCGCCATCACCCCACCTCACCTCCCTCACTGCCTTTGTAGCACCACCCCCACTGCCCCCCACCGCCCTCACCTCCACCACCGCTCTGTTGAAAGAGTTCTCCGCTGTACCACCAGCCTCACCGCTTGATCCTCCGCCCACCGCTCTGTTTAAGTACTGTGTGCCCGGACCCCCCGCGCCCCCACCGCCCCCACTCCCCTCACTGCCCACGCCGCCCCACCTCCCACCCCCCCCCCACACCCCCACCGTCATCCACCGCCACCACCCCCACCATCTCCATTACTGCCACGCATGCACTGTGCTTCCACCGCTTTCACCGTTCCCACCGTCTCCACGTATTTGTAGGTGTTTAAAGAGTTTAGAGTATTTAAAGGCTGCCAATGTGTGTCTGGACCCCCCCGCGCCCCAACCGCCCCCACCGCCCACACCGCCCTCACCGCCCTCACCACCTCCACCCCCCCCCAGTCACCACCTCCACCACCCCCAGCCAGCCCCCCCCACCTTTTCCCACATCAATTCCCCTCCGCGCCCTGTGTTTGTAGGTGTTTGAAGAATATTTAATGGCTGCCAATGTGTGCCCCGACCCCCCCCCACCCTCACAGCCCACACCGCCCTCACCGCCCACCTTCATCCACCGCCACCACCCCCACCATCTCCATTACTGCCACGCCTGCACTGGCATCCACCGCTTTCACCGTTCCCACCGTCTCCACCGCTCTACCGCCGCTGTATTTGAGTATTTAAAGGCTGCCAATGTGTGCCCGGACCCCCCCGCGCCCCACCGCCGCCCACACCCACCGTTTTCACTACCCCCACCATCTCCATACTGTCACCACCTCCATTCCCCTCCGCGCCCACACCGCCCCCGCCCTCACCGCCCTCACCGCCCTCACCACCCCCACCACCTTCATCCACCGCCACCACCCCCACCATCTCCATTACTGCCACACCTGCACTGTGCCTCCACGCTTTCACCGTTCCCGCCGTCTCCACCACTCTCACCGCCCGCTGTATTTGTAGGTGAAAAAAGAGTAAAGAGTATTTAAAGGCTGTCAATGTGTGCCCGGACCCCCCCGCGCCCCCGTCGCCCACACCGCCCCCACCGCCCACACCGCCCTCACCGCCCTCACCACCTCCACCACCCCCAGCCACCGCCCCCACCGTGTTCACTACCCCCACCATCTTCATACTGTCACCACCTCCATTCCCCTCCGCGACCACACCGCCCCCGCCCTCACCTGCCTTTGTTGCACCACCGCTGCCGCCCCCACCGCCCACTGCCTTTGTAGCACCACCCCCACTGCCCCCCACCGCCCTCAACACCTCCACCACCGCTCTGTTGAAAGAGTTCTCACCGCTGTAGTAGGTGTTTTTTGAGTATTTTGAGGCTGCCAATGTATGACCGGGCCCTTCCGCGCCCCCACCGCCCCCACCGCCCTCACCGCCCTCACCACCCCCACCGCCCTCACTGCCCTCACCTGCCTTTGTACCACCACCCTCGCCGCTTGATCCTCCCGCCCACTGCTCTGTTTAAAGAGTCTTTCACCGCTGTATGTGAGGTGTAAAGAAAGTTTTTAAAGGCTGCCAATGTGTGCCCGGCCCCCACCGCCCTCACCACCTCCAGCACCCCAGCCACCGCCCCCACCGTTTGCACCACCTGCCACCACCTCCACTGTGCCCGGACGCTATCTCACCGCCCTCACCACCCCCACCACCTCCCCCACTGCCACCACCCCCAGTCTTTTGTCAGGGGAGTTATAACCGCTGTGTTTGTAGGTGTTTAAAGAGAAACAGCAGCACTGCCGAAAACAGCAGCATTAAGTGAACGAGGTTGGAAGTTTGGAGTGGGGGTTTAAAGCGATGTGTTTGAGATCCGGCCAGCCTGCGCTCCTGGAGATGGCCACGTCGCGACCTCCTGTCACAGCTGCCACACCATGCCGATGCACGCGACGTGACCTGGGTCTACTGCCGGCCTTGCGATGCGCCGCCGCGCGCGCGCGACTTTTTTGTCGTACCACCCCATGGCCACAACTGCACTGGTTCCATATCTTAAGCATAACGAATACAGCCTTCCTGCTAAACTCGGTTTTGTGCGGATGCCTTTTGCCTCTGAGTCTCAAGGTTGCTGAAACATGCGCACACAATGTCCGAGAGCTGAGCACTGCGTCAGTCCGAATACTTCGCCGCATCAGTCTTGCAGTTGGCTGCTTTCAACACCTGCTGCGTTCCTTGGATAGTCACCTCTCTTCTTTTGGGGTCGGCGGCAGTGGCGGCAGCCCATAAATCGGGCAGCGCTTCGCTGCCCTGTATGGACTGAGCTATGGCTCAGACGAATGGGCTTCGTCTGCGAAGCAGAAGCCGACCCGCCGCCGACCCCGCATCATCGGACCTCCGTTTCTCCATCGGGAGCGCGGGCCCTGGCCCGGAGGCGTCTCGGAACGCGCACGCGCTTCGCAGCCATTCCCCACGGTGTGGCGGGTTTCGGGGCCGCCGTGGCTTCGCTGCCCTGTATGGACTGAGCTATGGCTCAGACGAATGAGCTTCGTCTGCGAAGCAGAAGCCACGACCGACAGTGCCGCCGACCCGCCCCGGACCCCGCATCATCGGACCCTCGTTTCTCCCTCGGGCCGCGCGGGGCCTGGCCCGAAGGCGTCTCGGAACGCGCACGCGTTTTGCAGCCATTCCCCGCGGTGTGGCGGGTTTCGGGGCCGCCGTGGACGACCCCAGGAGGCGAGCCGGCGAGCATCATGAGCCCTCGGGCACCCGCAACCGGCGCCGGCGGCGCGACGTGGGCGCGAAGTCATAACTCCCAAGTTTTTGAGTGGGTTGCGGAAGCCGCCAAAGGGCGCATCATGAGCATCAGCGGGGTCCGGCGGACGGGTTGTGCGGGCTACATGCAGGGCCGACGGGGGCTGAGAGCCTGCGATCACCCACAAGTTGCGCACTTCGGGCCTACGTTGCACTTATCTATATACCGCGGGTTTCTGACAACAGCTCGCGCTGCCCGCACCTGGGCGCAGCCCCTAAATATGTGGCTGAAGCAGCCCTGCAAATCACCTTGCCCTCTCTGGTCCACGAGAGCCAGGAAGGGCTTCCAGATCGGCATCCGCCATGGAGACCAGTAAAGCTGAGGCCGCGACCCGCATCGTTTTTGAAGTCCTGAGCAAAGCACGACGTTGCCATGAGCCAACAGCCTATCGAACCAAACGAAAGCGCCCAACTGAAGCCTGGCCTTGTACTGCTCGTGCAGGTCGACCAAGAGCTCCAGAGACCCGGGCTTCTCCACTGTAACTTCTAAGGCGACGTCCAAGGCGGTCTTGTCGTTCTCCTTCAACCAAACGTCCGCCTTGTAGGGTTCGAACCCTGATTCAGAACACCATCGAGTAGCGATCCTTATCCATAAGGTACGACCAATTCCTGAAACTTTGCCCGAATGTCGGCCTTGTATGTCAGCAGCTGCCTGGCTACGGCAGTGTGTCCCTGAGCCAGCGCTCGGTGCAGGGCATGCTTCCCATCGTTCGTGGCGCTGTTTGGGTTCGCCCAATTGCGCAAGTGCTCCACGACCTTCTGCACGTTATCGTCGTAGGCCCTCAGCTGCCGATTGCAAGAACATCACTCAGCAGGTGACATCTGCAACACAGTCACGACGGAGCAGCTGCGGAGCAACTGAGCCGTAGACGCGCTGACGAGCTCCGAGCTGTTCTTCAGGCGATGTTCAACCACCTGGCCGAACTCCTCCCTGGCGCGCCGCAGCTCCTGTATGGCTACAGAAGCCCTGAAACTGCGGTTCGGAGCAAAGACTCCACTCCTCTTCCTAGGTACTTCGCTTGGTACCTTCAGTTGGTGCCAGTCCTCAAGGCCCAATCTCTGCGACAACATGGAGATGCACCTGCACGAAGTGATGCAGGTTTGTCTTGGGGAAGCTAAGCTTGAAGAGCCGACTGCGTCTTGCACTTAGGGGGGAAATATGGTTGAACGATCGCTCCCGCTTTTGACGGTCTCTGTACTGCCGGGGGAGTCGACTTCGAAAGCTTCGAGGCCCGCCTCGCCACAGCCTCGCTCTCGGGGTAGACGCGCTGGCGCAGGAGTCCTCAAGAGGTCGGTGGAACCAAGCGGGCTTTGGGTGTAGCTTTTTCCATGCTTGCCCATGTTCATGTGTATTTGCGATAAGGGTTTGTGTCTGGTTTCAGGCAACGCTCCCCAGCATCCCGGACTTTGCAGGGTCCGAATTCACGGCTAACGGCTATACAACTACTCCTTAACACAACAACGCCATGCCATATACCGACCCATGCCCCACAATCGGAACTGGCGAGCGCAGCAGGTACACAACAGGTCACCCTTGCTCCAGTCTAGCCATCCTGAACCTTGCCACAAAAGGCATGCTTAGTGGATCTTCATCGTCAGGGACAACGAGCAGGTTATGACTCCGTCATTAGTCCGCGAAGAATGGTTGCAGGCAGGTCTCCGAGCAAGAGGGGCGTCTGCCCGTCTGCATCCTGGACGTCTTGCCGAGCACCCGCCGAGATCAGGGCCCACGCAGCACAGGCATGGCCTTGGCCCATCGCCTGCGAAGAGCAGAGCAAAACATTCTCCACAGCTGCTTCTGCAAGACCGTGAAGAGTCCTGAACTGCTTCATTTCCTGCACTGTTCTGCTGCCAAGCAATTAAACGGCCTCGTGCAGCGCCGTGCGCAGAGTGGTCTCCTCCTTGAGGTCTACATCCGCACCGTGCTGAATGAAAAGCTGCCTCAGCAAGAGCTGTGGGGCGCAATAATCCCCACTGTTGCTTGGCATCTCAATGTTGCTGGTTTGGACAAGCACAGACCAGGATGTGTCCTGGCATGACCATAGTTTTACAACATTCGTGCAGTTTGATCAAGGGGCAAAGATGGGCAAAGACTCCATTGTATCCGACCACAGCAGGTGACTCCAACAAGCCGGATCAGTCGGGATGCACCATTCCGGAGTTGCCCTGCGAAGCCGCTTTGTGAAGCAAAGGCCTCTTCTTCTCCTTCAGCACAGCCTGTCCAGGATGCCGTTCAGTCTAGACCACTCCACGCTACAATCCGTCTTCATCATCGAACCATCGCACCAAATCTCATAAAGGCTTGGAGAGTTCATGGTTCGGATGCCTTCCTTCGTCGTGAGAATGGCAACAGGAAACTTCACATCGGCAACAGCGGTAGAAAGCAACGTGTCCGCGGAAACAACAAGGACATTTCTGCAGCGTTAGAGTTAGCACCTGTAGTGGTCACAGAATGAGCAATACTGTTTGCACTGTGATAAGAAGAACTGCCTCTGCATCCTTTCCGGCCCATTTGAGTGTTTTCCGACACTCCAGCTCGCTGTTGGCAGCCACATCGGCAATGAGCTGTCGTTTGATCTCGAACACCCTGTGCCCACTCGACTCCTGACACGGAAAGAATCAGGCAATGTCACATCTGACTTGGCATCTGGGTGCAGGGGCCTTAATGAAGAGCATGTACTTTGTTGTAAGTTGCAGCTCGCAGACCAACTTACCTGTGGCGGTACGATTTAGACACACCAAAGCCTGTGATCAAGAACGCTTGCGAAGGCGGGAAGTACGCCTTGCACTCGAAGTGTGAGCTGGAGGTCGCGGTATCCCCCATCCAATGGAGTTTGATACCTTCCCCACATCCCTTTGAATTACAGAATCTGTGACAACAAGCCTGGAGCTACCTCAAGCAGCAAACTGGGCTCGTGGCCGGTCGTTGAACTCCACAATTTCAACGCTCTCGTCCTTGCCAGCCGCAACATGTGCCTTTACATGCCTTGTCGGGCAACTGTGCAGTCCCGTGACCACGCTGCAGCCGTGCGTCCTCATCGATCAGCTTCAGCCCATGGTACATATCTTCCAAGCTCTCGTAGCTGAGCGTGTCTCGAACGATGTCAGTAAGTCTGTGCCTGGCTTCGATCAACAAAGGCCCAAATCCTCAACTTCACATCTGCATGGTCTCTTCTTCACCGGACCTGACTACCTGCAACGAACCTAGCAACGGGTGTCTTGGACCATCTCCAATCTGCGGTGGACTCAGAAAACCTTGTTCCGCCGTGGGATACCATTAAGCTACTGACTTTCTACAAAACTGAAATCCTGCTGTTCAGCACCAGCCATGTGAAAACCCTTCTCTCTCGTTGTCAAGGCCAGTTCTCCTGCCATCAGTTTTCAGCGGCGTACCTTTGCACATCTGAACTGGTTTTCAGATGAGTGGATGTTGGCAAACACGACTGGCTTCAAGCTCCGCAACTCTGGAGGAGACGAAACCTTGCGTGCAATGTGGATGATGCTCTGTGGTTTCCAAGGTATGTATGCAGGAAGGCTCCAGGGCTCCAGAAGATGCCCCTCTAAGTGTGGCTGCTCCCTACTTTGGATCGTTATCTGCCTTCTCAGAATTTTGTCCAGCTCAGCCTGCAAGATTGAAAGCGCAGCCTTGCTCAACAGCGATCATGCAAAGCTTCAGCTGGTTGCAGATAAACAGCAGTAAGCCTCAGAAGCATCGTTCGCCATCGTCGTCGTCATACCTGCTGCTGTCGTCGTTGTCGCCGTTGCTGCCATCATAATCGTCTCTGCTGCTGTCGTCGTCGCCGCCGCCAATGCCGTCGCCACCACCGTAACCCGCATCAACATCGACACGACATTATTCTCACTTGCATCTTTCTAGCCCGTCCCACGGAACATCAGGAGAACAGCGAATGGCAAGGCCCCCGGCCTCTTGCTCCGTACCTACACATGTGACTGCCACATGAAGCCAAGCAGGCCAGCAGCGCCATTCGACGTTGCCAGCACTGTCCATGTACTTAAACCTGGCCTTTGACTCGCAGCCTGAGCTTCGTGCAGAAGTACTTGAAATCTATGAGCGGCAAACCGGCAACAGCAACAGGCACCCTTCTCACGACCGAGCTGCGTTCCTTGCCTTTCAACGGGGGGTTTGCATAGGTACCATTGGTCTTTGTCGCGACCCTGCTGACAAGGGCGAAGAAGTGGTGCATGTGCTTGTGCGCAAACTCAAAGAGCTCATCCAGCGTTGGAAAGAAGGGCTGGAAATTTACCTGGCAGATGTCCCGAACACGGGAGCTTGTCATCACGAGACACGTTCCATCAGCCGGCCGCCGCCTTGACACTTCGTGCGGCACGCTCGCCGGCGGGAATGAGACCTTCCTGCTCCTCGCCCAACCCGTGCTTCTTCTGCAGCTCTGTACCTGGGACAACCACAGAAGCCTTGCAGCTGTCGAAGTAGCATCTCTCGCTAAGCCAAGGCGCTGAGTTGCCGAAAGCTCCTCAGCTTTTCCTGCCCTCCGGAGATCTCCAGCGCCTTCGCGTACTTGGCTGCTGCACCGTCTTCTCGATCCAGGAGCACGATGTTCCCGTCGTACTTGGAGTCCGCGAGGCCGAACTGTTCACGGGGAAAACACGAACGGGGGCTGATATTGTTTTGCAAGACGATGGCCGAACGAGAGGCACCGTTCGGAGGCACGGCACTCGACGGCAAACGAAGGAAGGAAGTGCTATGTCCTGGTTTCACATCAGATTCGGAGCCGAAGCGAGGGCCTTCTCACGGAGGGACAGCTTCGGTGCATGCTCCGTCTTGGGATCTGTCCCCTGACAGTTGGGACTGGTATCATGGAGAATCAGCACCTAAACTCACGCGGTGCAGCGAGAGAGCGAAGTGAACCCTGAACTCGAAAACTGCTCTCGTGTGATCCCGGCCTGGCTGGCAGGCTCGGAGCCAGTGCCCGGGGCCTTCAGCAGGCTGGCTTCATGGCACTCCCGGTACTCATGCAATCAGTGCCAGCGCCTGCTTGGTGCTGGCGGCTCCCATGGCGGCGCGAAGGCCTCAGGAAGCAGCCCGGCCTGCCCTCGAAGATCCAGTCGATCCGGCTTCCCTTCCCGCTCTGCTTGCCACGTGCATCCATGCCACTGGCTGCCAGTTCCTCAACTTTGGAGCTCAGAACTTCCAGCCTTAGAAGCTTGAAAATGCAGCTCTACTTAGAACAGGCGCAAACTGGAAGAGATCGGCATCGCAGGTGTGCACGGATCCACGACTGAATGCTCACCACCTGGCGCAGCTTCCATGAGCTACGGTAGCTCCTGATGCCAAGGGTGCGGCATCCGCGCTTCCAACTGCTCGCCCAAGCGCCCCACCTGACACGTTCTACGCGCAAGATCAGACGAGACATCACGAAGTCCAAAGTCAAAGAATCCACAAACTCTTCCACACGAGTGCAGCCTCCCGCGCCCTCGGCTGCAAAAACCTGGCCTTCTCCTCAACTTGCTCCACAAGGCGCACCTTTGGCATAAAATTCACCATGCATCGCTGAAAATGACTGGAGCGAGACCTGTGACCTGTCAGCATGTATTCTTTAACATCAAGCTGTTGGCAACAAGATCCAACTCGCAAACCTTGCAACATCTGCACCTAGTGCACTGCAGGGAGCTCTACTGTGCAGACGACTGCAGCCCCACGGTGAAGACGATTGGCCTGCATGGCCTCCAAAGATGTCGTCAGATCTGCCGCCGTCTCGGCACCTAAGCAGCTTTGGGGCTCGCACTACATGAGAGCTAGGGTCTCAGAAGTTGTGCTGGCACTGCTACCGACAAAGCTTCGACGGGTGGAGGGAGCAACTTCAAACGACAACCGAAGACTTACCCGGGGTGTTCCTGCAGAAGTACTCTTCGTTGTCCTATACAGCCTTTGCCTGGGCTGTTAAGGAGCCTGCGCGACGTGCCCACTTCGGAGACCAGCGGCGCCTTCAATTGCAAGAAAAAGAGAGAGAGAGAGAGAGAGAGAGAGAGAGGCCGGCAACCGTATGCCCATAAAGCTGCAACTCCAATAGTGCTCGGCTCAAGGCCTCCAAGGCCTCAGGGCAAACTCCCCGAGCCTCGCCACCAAGGCACAAGACTGCTCTTTTTTAGGGGTTTAGGGTTTAGGGTTTAGGGTTTAGGGCCAGAGAGCCAAACAAGGAAAGACTCCACGGCTGCCCGACTACTCGACTACCTACTTTTGTATTTCTGCAATACTGTCTGGGAAGGAAATCCACATCGGGAGCATCTGTTGATCCCGTAAACGCCCTACACGCTACAAACTCTACACCCTAAACCCGAAATGCCCCCAAATCCGAAACAATAAATCCTAAATGCCCCAAATCCGAAACCCTAAACCCGAAACCCTAAGCCCTTGACCCCAAATATCCCCAATCCAAAAACTGAACATTAAATTCACAACTCTTCCTGGCGCTCTGGAAATCGGGTTGGCCTTTGCGTCGCAAGTCTCTCGTTCACCCTGCAGGGCAGATAGCTCCTGAGGGACTAGGGTACCTTATTTGGGGGTCCTTATAATAAGGATCCTATTGTATAGGGTACTGTATTAGGGTATGCTTCTGGTTATGATATACCGCATCGTACTGCATTGATTCACCGCAGTGCTCCTGGGAGCTCTTGTTCGGAGATACACCGAAGCTTCAATCCAAACACTTAAGGGCATGTCGAAACATCCTTCTGGGACTCGCTGTATGGCAACGTCATTCACATGAAAGTCGCCTCCTGCTGCCCTAACCGGACGACCGAAACGACTCGAGCACGGAACCGACGCCTGAGCTCTTTGGATTTGATTCCCTAACAGCTCCTCCTTGAGGGCTCGGTTGCGCTCTCGCAAGGAGATGCTTTCGCCCTGATGACTTGGAGCACGTTGGCGGAGCCATCGCATCATGAAGGACTCCGGATCCTGACCAAGTGCTGGTGTGTGGTCACACAAGAGCGGCACTTTGAAATTTACACCGCCAGCCCAAGTTGAAAGTGACGAGAGGTAGGGTTGAGGCAAGTGAGGTGAGGGATCATTTTGCTCAGCCCACCTCCGGCATCGCACCCAGCACGTCGCTGACGAGCTCTATCGCCAGGGGCTGCACCGTCGCCACGAGATATCGCTCCTTCCCGAAGACTCGCAAAAACCCCGTATTGATTAAGGAGCATACCATCGATCTGTTAGGTCTCGGTAGTTTGAGGTATACTGCTCAGTTACGGGGTCTTTGGGTTCGCTAATTTCAGACACCATGCGAATACTTACGACCACAGCATCTAGCGCAACATGGGCGATTGTCACCCTTTGCATGGTGGCTCGGAACTTGCATGGCGGGTTATGGCTTTACGATCTGTGTCCGCAGACCTCCCAACTCGTTGAATATGACGGCTATGATAAGGAGCAGGAGGAGGAGGAGGAGGAGGAGGAGGAGCAGGAGCAATGCGAAGATGAGGACTTGCCAGCCGCAACACTGCAACCCCCCTTCGCATTGGCCTGCTGGGCTGATCGCGACGAAGGTTCGGATTTTGTAGTCTCAACCTGTTGGTCATCATAACGGTGAGAGCGAGAGAATCACTTGGACGTCTCTGCCAGTGCTTGGGGAAAAACTACCTATCAGCCCTGGTATGTCACGTTGCTGCTGCTGCTGCTGCTGCTGAGGTGGAACCGTCCAGGTCGCATCATCCAAGATTGAAGCCTTCTCAACGGTTCTGTGCTATTCTCTCGCCGTTAGCTAAATGTCTCTCTACGATCTACACCCACTGTAAGACTTCCAACAAAGCCATTCATCCGAAAATCAAGGCCAGCATGGCACGTCCCAGGCAAAGACCGCTGTACACTCGTACGCACGACGCTCGGAGCTAATCAGCAGACAACCAGTGTTGGACGGCCCACAACTCAAAAAAAAAGAAGCTGTGTGCAAAGATCCCAACTAGTCTCACAGGTCGCACTGGACATCGGTAAATGTGCTCTGCAAGTATCCAAACACCCTTGCGGCCGGATCTCCAAGACGAGAAAAAACCTCTGCCAGCCCAAATAACACCAAATGCCAAAGATAACCCCACAAGCCGTCTGAACCCTGAACCCTACTGTAAACCCAAGGGAGCCTCCTCCTTGGCGTTTCGGGCATCCGTGGATTCCTCGGAAGCAAAAGCGCGGTGAGAGCTGGGAGGGCCCGGGCGTCGAGGCTTCGGAGGTTGCTGGCTTCGAATGTTTGTTAAGGGAATTAATTGAAGTTACCATAATAGGGATCTATAGTAGTTATATAATGAATATTGTTTCCTTGCTATGCCCAACCAGTTTAACAATATGCGGGATCAATGTATTTTCTGTCGTAAACTCCTGGCTTGTTGCTCGATGGTTTCGTGACGGTTTGATGCATCTATATCGAAGGCAGCACTTATGAAGATGCATGAAGTAGGGCCGTGCATTACTAGTCTCCCCAAGCACTCACCCAAATCTGTACCGTGAACCCTACGTCATAATTGTCACTGAAACAACCCTGGTAAAATCCCCAAAAAAACCTTGATGAAACCCTAACGCGATCAGAAAACGCGAAAAGCCGACTCTCTACGACCTATGTAATAAAGCAACTTGCACAACACTCATCACCTTCCCTAGCTTCTGGCAGAACAATACCAAAATTTCATATGTCGAACCCTTCAAAGGTTTAAGGTCTCTGGGACGTGGCTGGATCTTGGCACAGCGTTACTGTTAGTGTTCGAAGACGTTGCGATGCCATCAAAAGGCTTGGATCCGTGCAGAGACCTTGGTCACGCAGTGCGGGCGAACGAAGATCCCGTGCCTGCCAGGATGTACCACGAATGTCCAAGGACTTTGCGGCATCGGGCATCAGCTGTATGAGAGAAGCAGACAATCCTTGCAGAAAGAAACAGAGCTGACATGGAACAACCGAATTGAAACACCGGCAGGCCACCCTGGCTCGCACTGGAAGTACGCCTTGCCCTTCACACTGCCGTTGTTCTTGCCGACCTGTGACTAACTGGGCTCAAAGACTTACGCTTGCTCTAGCAAGGCCTCCCTGTTGCCACGCATGTGTTGTCTTCTGCACTTGTTATCTTGAACGCCACGGGAGCGATTGCTGAGGTATCTCATCGTGCCTGGCGGTCAAGCTCCAAGCCGAGCCACTCCTCAGCAGTCATGAAGTGAGGTGAGCACACCTGCGTGTTGCTGCATGTTTCATGGAAATCTTGAGGCCGTGTGTCAAGCAGTGAACATCCACGAGGCGAGGGACCTCCAGAGATCTAGTGCGGCTCTGAGCATTAGACATTTTCACTGTCTGGATGCAGAAGCAGGATTTGCCAAAGTGAGCCCGACCCGAAGAAATTTCCCTGTGGTCTCCGTGGGGGGTGGCTAGAAGACAGGAAGAAACACGAGAAACTCGATGGCAGACAACAACTTGTCAAAGAACTGAACCTGTGTGCACATATCTACCTGTCTAGATAAATCTACTTATATGTAGATGCACAAATACTCGTGCAGATGACTACAGCTCGTTGAAGATAATGCGTGTTTTTGCACGTGTTTTGCACCTGTTCGATGCAACAGCAAGCCTTTGCTGAACCGTTAGATCTTGCACCCGAGACTCTATAAACCCTTCGACTGGGACCTTCATCCAGCTCACACCCAAATATCAGTGTATGTGTAATCTTACGTGTTAGTAGATGAAGGAATCGCCGAGCATCGCCCGGGGCAAAGGCCGCCTCGCCGACGAAGCGGACAGTGCCAAGCAGCACCTCCTTGCGAGCTGGCGCTAGAAGTCGGCTTAGGGCTTTGAGCCCCAAGCTGCTCTTTCTATCTGCTTATTGAGAGTACGTTGCGCGGGCAAAAGCCGAAGCTAGCACGAGGACAAGCTGTGACACTCTACAGCCGAAACCTCTGAAGACACAGTTTTGAAAGAACCGCAACCCCACGCAGAACATCGATGAGAAACTGTCTTCGCTGGTCGCCTTGTCGGCTTGCGGGCCGCCCTCGCCACGAATTTCCACTCGGTCACCTACTACGGACATGAGAGCGAAAGTACACTCAGCTTCGGAGTGTACTGGGCGAACCATCTAGTAGCTGATGAGCAAAATGCTGCCAGGCGAGCGAACATTGCCATAACCGGACGGAAACAACGAAGCAGCAGTTCCAAGCTGCCAAACATGAGCTTAGAACGTTCTCCAGCATCGAGCCTGCACGCAAATCCGCTCTCTGCAAAATGAAGTTGGCAAGCAATGGTGGCACACAGCTTGGCAGTGTCCCATGCCTCTCTCCCACGACATCTGAAGCGTTCGCAATGCTGTGAGAGCTGAGGTTCACCGATGGAGCCCGAGCAAAGCCCTGAAGCCAACAGCCCAAGAGGTCCCCCCCGACAGATCACTTCCACCCACTTTACGGGGCGCCGCCTTTCAGGGATTTGCCGGCCGGGTTGAGGATTTTGAATCCAAGATGCCTCTTTTGAAATTTGAGGCGTCCGCCAAACATCTCGGTCTACGGTTTTTGAGATTGGAGTTGAGAGCCCCCTTCCTAACATTCAGTGCACGAACGAGCCCCAGATGCTAAGAAGCCCCCCGGGGGCAAAATCCATCTTCTCGGAATCCCAGACTCACGATATCCTGAAGGTACGGCCGATTCGTGTCAAGGACAACAAGGCAGGATCCCTCGAAGGTAGCTTGGTCACTCTCCCTTTTTGCACCGCCATCTTCATTGCGGGCAGAGTCGAGGCTGAATTCGTTGCTACGTTGTGAGGTCCAGGCCGGGTGTACGGAAGCCGCAGCACACGTTCATCGCAGAGTTGTGGGTGAGGCTAGGGATGTGGTCTGTAAGCTGTGTTCACGGACAAACCTTTCTGCGGTCTCAGGAGCTGGTCGTTGGCGCGAACCTCCTGCGAGCTCAACGGAAAGTTCGAGAACCCTAAACTCCAAACTCTAAAGCCTCTAAACTTGCAAGCCGAGACCAAGAGTTTAGGGTTTTGGGTTCGGCTGTCCTGCTAGGAAGCCGCTCGAAACAAAATTAAACGAGGGATCCTTAAGAGAGCCGGGCCCTCAAGCCGGTCTCCGGAGTCCCAGAAGAGCTTGAGGGCAAGAGCTGAGCCGGCCCTCTGTCGGTCCTTGTCGTAGAGTTCCAGCAGCCGGCCTTTGGGCAGTCTATGGTTAGGGGCCTTGGTAATTAGAATAGGGTTTTTGGGGGCCATTATACTATAACAACAAGAAGGAACCCCCAGAATAGTATTGGTAATTATTTTCAGCCCCTATAGTAGGCTATCGAGGCATTGGGGGTTTGGTTTTTCGGGGTTTCCGGTTTAGGGTCCAGGATTGAAGAGTTTACGGGTTCGATGGAAGGATATCTTGCTTTCAAGGTTTCGAACCCGACAGTGGGTTTAGGGTTTTAGGGTCTTGGGTACATAATACTGAGTCTAGTATAACTGCAGTATTATTCTTAATGCGTATTAGTGCTCATCCTTTTTTTCGGAGGAGGGTTCCAAAGCAATCAGTATCCTGTAAATAGGGTTTGGGATGATGACCATCTTAGACGTGCGGTATGCAATACAACCCGAACCCTTTCTCATTGTTTAGGCCCCTCTGCTGACATTGCCTTGACCCGAAACCTCGAAGCTCTTGCATCTTGGGTTCTGGGATACCGTGAATCCCACAAACTGAGCCCTACCATAACAACACTGTCACAATACTCCGAAAAAATCGTACGATCGTGACTACAATTATGCTGTAGCAGCCATACTAATAACGATACCATTAATAACATTCCTTTGCATAATGATCCTGTTGTAGTATACCTGAACCCCAAACCAAACTTCAATCTCCGTTTAGGGCTTAGGGTGTTTAAGGAACCCTTAAAGGCTCCCCCATGCAAGGATGCAGCCGCGCCTTTCTTTTCGTTCTGGCTAAGGGGCCAATCCAATGAGTGGCTCCTGCGCTCAGGGTCCAGGGTCTTTAGCATGAAGGCTTCAGTGGTTCAGGATTCAAAGGTCCCGATGTTTGAGGCTGCGGGGGTTTCAGGCATGCCGCGTGGTTGATTTCGCGCTTCAAAACCTGGGCCCCTGCATCCTAAACTCCAAACCGGAAAACCTAATCTCCTAAACCTTGAATCCCCTAAATCCTGCGACCAAACCACAACAGCTTCAACCCCCAACCTTCTGCCCAAAAGCCCAGCCCTTTCAGCTTGAACCCTGACTAGACTCTAACTCTACCCACAAAAGATACACCCTAAAAAAGGGCTCCTCATTATGATTTCCTTGACTACGTCCTGAAAACGGTCGGTTGTCTCGGGTGAACCTAAGGCCTGAAGCTTTCTGTAAGGGTACAGGGTGCGAGGGGAGTTTGGAACCAAGATCTCCCAAACTGAAGGCTCTTTCTCGTTGTACCTCGGTTCAGGGCTTTGGGTTTAAGGTTCCGGGATCCCTTGTTGATAATATGGGGTTCAAGTAAGGGATACTTTGGGCTCCCCCTTGCTCTTTCCGAAGCTCCACGTCCGACGCTTCACTCCGAATAACCCGCCTCGTCGCCCAACCCCGAACTTCAAACGATTCAGATGTTCTAACTCCTTTGAAACATTCTGAAAGAAAACGCCTACACCCCAAATCGCGACGACCCAACTCCGATCCTCCTCATGGACGCCAGCAACCGTGGCCCTACATCGCCGCAGGAGAGCACCGGCCGGACCGTCGAGATAACTTTTAAAGACGTTTATCCACTGAAACATTAGCTGTAGCTCCACTGGTCGCTCACGAGGCGATCCCACAAGTGCTCACAGGCTGTCAGAATGACTTTCTTGCAAGTACCAAGGTTGAGCTTCATAGTCGCAAAATCAGCCTCACATCTACCGCTGTCCAAAGAGTCTACGGACAGGTGCGCTTAAAACAGCCGGTGCAAACAGCAAAACTGTGCTCTAAAACCGCGCTACCCCTACGGTTTCAGAACCTAGCGATAATTGAAGAGCATGTCAGGATGCAAGAAGCCACAACAATAAGCTAGACATATTCCATTGCTGGTGGTAATTCTAGACTGGGGCGGAAGCACCGCAAATCAAGTGGGCATCGCAGCCCCAATCTCCCTACACCTTCGAATGTAACTCGCTCTGAACCCCGACCTTAGCCTAACAAGAGTTGGAAGATCCTGCCCGACAGAACAATCAGAGCAGTGCAAGCTGCTGTCAAAGTCCCTCAACTCAAACTGAAACGCAAAACCCTCAACCCTTGCCGCCTCGTAAGCTGAAAGAAGGTACTACAACGAACGTGTCTACAACACCTCCTGTGCAGGAGCTAAGGACTTGAAGAAGCTGCAAGAAGCATGAGCCTATAGCATCCGCTGAACTACAAGTCCGGAAACAAACAGACAAAGTCGCCTCGCTCTGCTCCCGATTTTTGCTCGCATCCGTGCTTCAAAGTCTCTGTCCCCATCATGGAAGGGGCAAGAGGCTTTCGACGGCTTGTCGATGGATAAACCCAACTCGACAACTCCTTGCTGGCACGAAGAAGCATCTCCAGCCATGATGTTCCATGTGCTTCGTGCTCCTCCAGCACGGCTTCGCCGCGCTTTGCCAGCTGGGAGATTGGGAACGTCGGCCTCGGCCTCTGAAGAGCTCGGAATAAAAGAATGGCGCCATAATTTCCATCATATGTACAACTCTCAAATACCAGACTATAATAGTATTATCGAAAATATCAGAATGTATGGTGTTGTTTTTTGAATCGGAAGGGCTGAAACGGCTCTGAGCGCCTCCGAGGTCTCTTTGATGTCTTTAGGTCAGCGCTGGGGAACGCTCATTACGGAGTGGATGTAACCTCTACTCTACTCACCGCGAAAGGTCGATCTTCGCGCTCGGAGGCCAAGTCTCTGGAAGCTCCCGTGTATTTAGGGGACAACCCTCTGCCCCTCGGAAGAGGGTTCCGGACGAGTGCCAGCTAAATCTGCCCACGGCCCTCCTTACTGCCATCGAGGACTACGATACACGGAGACAACAGCTTTGCTCAGAACAGGAACAACTGTCAGGTTGTGCGCACGCGCATCAACACCAATCTCCACAACTTGCGAATCATTCTCGAGCACAAATATGTGCGGAACATAAGCTCACCCTTTGTGTGTCGGCACATAATGCCCACAAGGTCCTGCAGGAAGTCCTAGCTAATTAGAAGGGACTCAGCCCGAGCTTTGAGCCAGTTCTATGGGTGTAGGGTTTCGTATTTAGTGTTTATGTATCAGCTTCGCGCCTAGCCTCAGGCATGCGAGAAGGGCAGGGGGAGAGGAAAACGCGGCCAAGGCCGCGCTGACAAGAGCAGAACTATGGAACTATTCGCCAATCCATCTCTGCCTCCAAAACGAGTTTGAACAGGATGCACTACATACCAACGCAGGTGAAGGCGACGACAAAGGGGTGCCGAAGCCGTTCGTTCAAAGGGACCAAGCATGTTTGACGGCATTGCACGGCTTTGCCATGAGTTATCTAAGCTCTGAAGACATGTAGGGTATGGTTTCTAGTATAGGAGGATGGGTCTTGACGGTCATTAAATGACGACGCTACGATGACGCAACGACGATGCGACGACGGTGCGACGACAACACGACGACAATGGCCCGACGATGCGACGACAGTGCCACACGACGATGAGACGACGGCACGACGGGCATGCGACGACGAGCATGCGACGACGATGCGGCGACGGCACGGAATGGACACGACGGAACGGACACGACTGCGACGGCAACGAAGTTGCGGATTTGACCATATTGCGACGACACGCCGACAACGACGAAGAGATGACGACGCCATGCCGGGTCTTGAAACCATGACAAGGTTGACAGGATGTCCTTTCATTGCCTAGCAGTCGCAGCTGCAGCTACTCGTAGGTAGTAAGTGCTGGGCAGGCGTGACAGGTTTGCTAGTCAACTTCTTGCTTTCAGTGCTCGTGTGCAAACATGCTCTCGGCACGCTGCAGGACGGAGTCCCGTCTTTGGGAAACTGTGGTGAGCCTGCTAGAAGACCAGGTTCCGGCCGACTCGCCATCCAGGTGGATCGAGCGTTGTCGGATGGAGAGACGATTCAGGTTGCGAGCTTTGACGCGCGTGCTCACGATGTAATCTATGCGCCCGGTATCCACGAAGTCCAAAGCTTACGGGTCTGAGCCCTGGCGCTGTCGGAAGCATGGGTGCATGCTTGGAACAGATCCAAGGCTTGCTTTGCCACTGCAATTTGAGATGCGGGGAGTCCTGTGCGCCTGTGTGATAGCCAAGAACCGGCACTGGTTCCATCGAGGTGGAGGGTGCAACCGCTCAAATACAAAGACGTCAGGCCTCGAACTTTCGGTCGGCCATTCACTTCATAGTCCAGGCCACCCAAAGCGTTCACCACAAAGGCGATCTGGTCACCATCCGTGTCCGTGTACCGCACAGCGCCTTTTGCGCCCCTGTCAAGGAGCAGCTTCAAGCACCCCTCATGGCCACCGTGCATGGCGAGCATCAGCGCAGTGTGGCCTGGCCATGTGACAGGCTTTCCGGAAGGATTCATCCCTTGAGCTGTACGTTTTGTGGTGACAGACTGCGACAGACTGTGCTGCAGCATGGGACCAAGGCCCCGGCCCTCGCTGTTCTGGCAGTCCTGCGCCACGAAATGCAAGGCCGATCTGCTCCGCGGCGGTGCGAGTCACGTTTTTCAGAAGCCAACTGTGCTGCATCCACTGAGGAACTTCAGTATACTTATATATACACGCTGCCTGGCTCTTGCCCTGTTCACGGCCGTGGACAGTATTTACACCCCTTTCGCACAGGGAAGGAACATGCAAACGCTCAACAAGAAAAACGCCCGAAACACAAACCGAGGAACAGAAGCATCTGTTCTGTATATAAGTTCCAGCTCTGCGGCCATCGCTTCGCCCGCCTTCTCCACGTCTCTATCCAAGAGCTCCTTGACGCACTCCAGGTGGCCGGAGCCAGCAGCGAACATCAGAGCCGTGTAGCCTTAACGTGGAACTATGGGGAAGGCACATGGAATGGAGCAGCTGATACAGGGTCGACAGTTGTTTCGGTGCCACATGCGACCATGTCGACATAGTGGGGCACCTTTTCTCTTTTGCGATGTCCGTGTTAGGGAAACTGCGCCTAGGCTTTTGCTTTGCGCTGGTACCAAGGCCCCGGCCGTCGTTGTCTTGGCAGTCCTACGCAACGGATTGCAAGGCCACTTTGCTCCAACGCACGCCCCTTCAAGCCCCGAGCCTTCTCGGCTTCCCCGTCCAGGAGCACTCCGAGGGACTCCGTCTTGCCCTCCCTCGCTGCAAGCATCAGCGCCGTGCTGCCTTGGGCTGGTCCGCTTCGATGCAAAGCGTGGAATCAAGTCTTCGCTCATGCCGGAGCCGGTTGCCCTCGTCATCGTTTGCCCATATGATGCATGTGCGGATACACCCTCACAAATACAGAAAAAATCCTTGCTGTACTGCGATTACACGACCTCCCTCATCCCGGATCCCTGCAGGGCCCGGACCATCGACGCATCTGGCATCCTGGTACGGATCTTGTGCGAATGAGGCCCCGTACCGTCTGCAAAACCTGCCTTCTCCATGCCTTTGTCGAGGAACCGTTTGATGTGGGCTGCATTGCCATGCTTTGCCGCCAACATCAGGAACGTCAAGCCTGAGGCTCAGAGAATGGGGACGGACGCGATGGAAGCAAGCGCGTTTGCCTTTGCGCGCGGAAGTCAACGTGGCTTGTTTGGGAGTTGTCTGTCCTTCGGCAGTCACGACAGCTCCTTCCTTCACCAGTGCAGCCAGTCGGGATGGGCGATGCCGACGGTCAGGCATGGGTGCGAGTCCGAAGTGACAATGGGACGTGGTGTTGCAGGTCCGGAAACCAGAGCACTGGCGAAGGATCGGAGTCTCCGGCAGAAACATCAATTACCGACGGAACGCGCACTTGCAATCAATCGTGGGATGTAAAGGCCGGGAATGGCCAGGTGTTTGAAGGATCACATGCAGGATTGCCTGCAACCAGGCAGGGCTGCCAGTTCGGGATCGGCATCCGCCGTGGAGACCGTTACAGCTGAGGCCGTGACCCTCATCGTTTTTGAAGTCCTGAGCAAAGCGCGACGTTGTCATGAGCCAACTGCCTATCGAACCAAACGAAAGCGCGCTGGAGTAAGGCGGCTGAGAGAGCAAGAGACGAGCTTCTCAAAACCTGGCAACTGAACCCCGGCCTTGTACTGCTCGTGCAGGTCGACCAAGAGCTCCAGAGACCCGGGCTTCTCCACTGCAACTTCTAAGGCGACGTCCCAGGCGGTCTTGTCGTTCTCCTTCAACCCAATGTCCGCCTTGTAGGGTTCGAACCCTGATGCAGAACGCCATCGAGTAGCGATCCTTATTCATAAGGTACGACCAATTCCTGAAACTTTGTCCGAATGTCAGCCTTGTACGTGAGGAGCTGCCTGGCCACGGCAGTGTGCCCCTGAGCCAGCGCTCGGTGGAGCGCGTGCTTCCCATCGTTCGTGGCGCTGTTTGGGTTCGCCCAATTGCGCAAGTGCTCCACGACCTTCTGCACATTATCGTCGTAGGCCCTTAGCTGCGGATTGCAAGAACATCACTCAGCAGGTGCCATCTGCAACACAGTCACGGCGGAGCAGCTGCGCGGCAACTGAGCCGTAGACGCGCTGACGAGCTCCGAGCTGTTCTTCAGGCGATGTTGCACCACCTCGCTGAACTCCTCCTTGGCACGCCGCAGCTCCTGCAGCCATAGGTATACAGAAGCCCTGAAGCTGCGGTACGGAGCGAAGACCCCACTCCTCTTCCTAAGTACTTCGCTTGGTATCTTGACATGATGCCAGTCCTCAAGGCCCAATCTCTGCGACAACATGGAGACGCACCTGCATGAAGTGATGCAGTTTGTCTTGGGGAAGCTAAGCTTGAAGAGCCGACTGTGTCTTGGACTGAGGGGAGGGGGGGGGAAAGGGGGTTGAACGATCGCTCCCACTCTTGACGGTCTCTGTTCTTCTGGAGAGTCGACTTCGAGTGCTTCGCGCCTCGCTACAGCCTCGCTCTCGGGGTACACGCGCTGGCGCAGGAGTCCTCAAGAGGTAGTTGGAATCAAGCGGGTTAGCTTTTCCATGTTTGCCCATGCTCATGTGTGGTTGCGAGAAGGGTTTGTGTCTGGGAAGCGCCTACGCTCCCCAGCATCCGGAGTTTGCAGGGCTATACAACTACTCTTTAACAAAACAACGCCATGCCATACCTACACATACCCCACAATCGGAACTGGCGAGCGCAGCAGGTACACAAAAGATCACCCTTGCTCAACTCTAGCCGCCCTGAACCTTGCAATCAAAGGCGTGCTTAGTCGATCTTCATCGCCGGGGGCAACGAGCAGCTTATGACTATGATTCCGTCATTAGACCACGAAGAATGGTTGCAGGCCGGTCTCCGAGCAAGAGGGGCGTGTGCCCGTCTGCATCCTGGACGTCTTGCCGAGCACCCGCCGAGATCAGCGCCCACGCAGCACAGGCATGGCCCTGGCCCATCGCCTGCGAAGAGCAGAACAAAACCTGCTTGTCAGCTGCCTCGCCAAGAGTCCTGTACTGACGACTTTCCTGCACTGTTTTGCTGCCAGGGAAAGAAAGGGCCTCGTGCAGGGCCGTGCGCTGAGTAGTCTCCTCCTCGAGGTCTACATCCGCACCGTGCTGAATGAAAAGCTGCCTCAGCAAGAGCTGTGCGACGCAATAATCCCCACTGTTGCTTTGGCATCTCAATGTTGCTGATCTGTTGCTTGGCATCTCAATGTTGCTGGCTTGGACAAGGACAGACCAGCATGTGTCCTGGCATGACCATAGTTTTACAACATTCGTGCAGTTTGATCAAAGGGCAAAGATGGGCAAAGACTCCCTTGTATCCGACCACAGCTGTTGACTCCAACAAGCCGGATCAGTCGGGATGCACCATTCCGGAGTTGCCCTGCGAAGCCGCTTTGTGAAGCAAAGGCCTCTTCTTCTCCTTCAGCACAGCCTGTCCAGCATGCCGTCCAGTCTGGACCACTCGACGCTACAATTCGTCTTCATCGTCATCGAACCACCGCACCAAATCTCATAAAGGCTTGGAGAGTTCATGGTTCGGATGCCTTCCTTCGTCGTGAAAATGGCAACAGGAAACTTCGCATCGGCAACGGCGGTAGAAAGCAACATTTCCGCGGAAACAACAAGGACATTTCTACAGCGTTAGAGTTAGCACCTGCAGTGGTCACTGAATGAGCAATACTGTTTGCACTGTGATGAGAAGAACTGCCTCTGCATCCTTTCCAGCCCATTTGAGTGTTTTGCGACACTCCAGGTCGCTGTTGGCAGCCACATCGGCAATGAGCTGTCGCTTGATCTCGAACACCCTGTGCCCACTCGACTCCTGACACGGAAAGAATCAGGCAATGTCACATCTGACTTGGCATCTGGGTGCAGGGGCCTTAATGAAGAGCATGTACTTTGTTGTAAGTTGCAGCTCGCAGACCAACTTACCTGTGGCGGTACGATTTCGACACACCAAAGCCTGTGATCAAGAACGCTTGTGAAGGCGGGAAGTACGCCTTGCACTCGAAGTGTGAGCTGGAGGTCGCGGTATCCCCCATCCAATGGAGTTTGATACCTTCCCCACATCCCTTTGAATTACAGAATCTGTGACAACAAGCCTGGAGCTACCTCAAGCAGCAAACTGGGCTCGTGGCCGGTCGTTGAACTCCACAATTTCAACGCTCTCGTCCTTGCCAGCCGCAACATGTGCCTTTACATGCCTTGTCGGGCAACTGTGCAGTCCCGTGACCACGCTGCAGCCGTGCGTCCTCATCGATCAGCTTCAGTCCATGGTACATATCTTCCAGGCTCTCGTAGCTGAGCGTGTCTCGAACGATGTCAGTAAGTCTGTGCCTGGCTTCGATCAACAAAGGCCCAAATCCTCAACTTCACATCTGCATGGTCTCTTCTTCACCGGACCTGACTACCTGCAACGAACCTAGCAACGGGTGTCTTGGGCCTTCTCCAATCTGCGGTGGACTCAGAAAACCTTGTTCCGCCGTGGGATACCATTAAGCTAATGACTTTCTACAAAATCGAAATCTTGCTGTTCAGCACCAGCTATGTGAAAACCCGTCTCTTGTTGTCAAGGCCACTTCTCCTGCTATCAGTTTTCCGCGGCGTACCTTTGCACATCTGAACTGGTTTTCAGATGAGTGGATGTTGGCAAACACGACTGCCTTCAAGCTCCGCAACTCTGCAGGAGACGAAACCTTGCGTGCAATGTGGATGATGCTCCGTGGTTTCCAAGGTAATGTATGCAGGAAGGCTCCAGGAGATGCCCCTCTAAGTGTGGCTGCTCCCTACTTTGGATCGTTATCTGCCTTCTCAGAATTTCGTCCAACTCAGCCTGCAAGATTGAAAGCGCAGCCTTGCTCAACAGCGATCATGCAAAGCTTCAGCTGGTTGCAGAGAAACAGCAGTAAGCCTCAGAAGCATCGTTCGCCATCGTCGTCGTCATACCTGCTGCTGTCGTCGTCGTCGCCGTTGCTGCCATCATAGTCGTCTCTGCTGTCGTCGTCGCCGCCGCCAATGCCGTCGCCACCACCGTAACCCGCATCAACATCGACACGACATTGTTCTCACTTGCATCCTTCTAGCCCGTCCCACGGAACATCAGGAGAACAGCGAATGGCAAGGCCCCCGGCCTCTTGTTCCTTACCTACACACGTGACTGCCACATGAAGCCAAGCAGGCCAGCAGCGCCATTCGACGTTACCGGCGCTGTCCATGTACTTAAACCTTGCCTTTGACTCGCAGCCTCAGCTTCGTGCAGAAGTACTTGAAATCTATGAGCGGCAAATCGGCAACAGCAACATGCACCCTTCTCACAACCGAGCTGCGTTCCTTGCCTTTCAATGGGGGGTTTGCACAGGTACCATTGGTCTCTGTCGCGACCCTGCCGACAAGGTCGAAGAAGTGGTGCATGTGCTTGTGCGCAAACTCAAAGAGCTCATCCAGCGTTGGAAAGAAGGGCTGGAAATTTACCTGCAGATGTCCCGAACACAGGAGCTTGTCATCACGAGACACGTTCCATCAGCCCGCCGCGGCCTTGACGCTTCGTGCTGCACGCTCGCCGGCGGGAATGAGACCTTCCTGCTCCTCGCCCAACCCGTGCTTCCTCTGCAGCTCTTTACCTGACTGACACACGATGTGGGACTGGGACAATCACAGAAGCCTTGCAGCTGTCGGAGTAGCATCTCTCGCTAAGCCAAGGCGCTGAGTTGCCGAAAGCTCCTGAGCTTTTCCTGCCCTCCGGAGATCTCCAGCGCCTTCGCGTACTTGGCTGCTGCACCGTCTTCTCGATCCAGGAGCACGATGTTCCCGTCGTACTTGGAGTCCGCGAGGCCGAACTGTTCACGGGGAAAACACGAAGGGGGGCTGATATTGGCATGCAAGACGATGGCCGAACGAGAGGCACGGTTCGGAGGCACGGCACTCGACGGCAAACGAAGGAAGGAAGTATTATGTCCTGGTTTCACATCAGATTCGGAGCCGAAGCGAGGGCCTTCTCACGGAGGGACAGCTTCGGCGCATGCTCCGTCTTGGGATCTGTCCCCTGTCAGATGGTACTGGTATCATCGAGAATCAGCACGTGAAATCACGCGGTGCAGCGAGGGAGTGACCTTGAACCCGAAAAACTGCTCTCGTGTCATCCCGGCCTGGCTGGCAGGCTCGGACCCCGTGCCCAGGGCCTTCAGCAGACTGGCTTCATGGCACTCTCCCCGGTGCTCATGCAATCAGTGCCAGCGCCTGCTTGGTGCTGGCGGCTCCGGCGGTGCGAAGGCCTCAGCAAGCAGCCCGGCCTGCCCTCGAAGATCCAGTCGATCCGGCTTCCCTTCCCGCTCTGCTTGCCACGTGCATCCATGCCACTGGCTGCCAGTTCCTCAACTTTGGAGCTCAGAACTTCCAGCCTTAGAAACTTGAAAATGCAGCTCTACTTAGAACAGGTGCAAACTGCAAGAGATCGGCATCGCAGGTTTGCACGGATCCACGACTGAATGCTCACCACCTGGCGCAGCTTCCATGCGCTACGGTAGCTCCTGATGCCAAGGGTGCGGCATCCGCGCTTCCAACTGCTCGCCCAAGCGCCCCACCTGACGCGTTCTACGCGCAAGATCAGACGAGACATCACGAAGTCCAAAGTCAAAGAATCCACAAACTCTTCCACACGAGTGCAGCCTCCCGCGCCCTCGGCTGCAAAAACCTGGCCTTCTCCTCAACTTGCTCCACAAGGCGCACCTTTGGCATAAAATTCACCATGCATCACTGAAAATGACTGGAGCGAGACCTGTGACCTGTCAGCATGTATTCTTTAACATCAAGCTGTTGGCAACAAGATCCAACTCGCAAACCTTGCAACATCTGCACCTAGTGCACTGCAGGAGCTCTACTGTGCAGACGACTGCAGCCCCACGGTGAAGACGATTGGCCTGCATGGCCTCCAAAGATGTCGTCAGATCTGCCGCCGTCTCGGCACCTAAGCAGCTTTGGGGCTCGCACTACATGAAAGCCAGGGTCTCAGAAGTTGTGCTGGCACTGCTACCGACAAAGCTTCGACGGGTGGAGGGAGCTACTTCAAACGACAACCGAAGACTTACCCAGGGTGTTCCTGCAGAAGTACTCTTCGTTGTCCTATACAGCCTTCGACTGGGCTGTTGAGGAGCGTGCGCAACGTGCCCACTTCGGAGACCAGCGGCGCCTTCACTTGCAAGAAAAAGAGAGAGAGAGAGAGAGAGAGAGAGAGAGAGAGAGAGAGAGAGAGCGAGAGAGAGCTTTGCCCATCTAGCTGCGACCCCAAGATAGGACTCGTTCTTGAATAGTGCTCGGCTTAAGGCCTTAGGGCAAGCTCCAGAGAGCCAAACAAGGAAAGACTCCACGGCTGCCCGACTACTCGACTACCTATCTTGTATTTCTGCAGTACTGTCTGGGAAGGAAATCCACATGCGGAGCACCGTTGCTCCAATAAACGTCCTAAACCCTACAAGCTCTACACCCTCCCTATATGCCCCCAAATCCGAAACCTTAAACCGTAAACCCAAAGCTCTTGACCCTAAATTTTAAATATCCCCAATCCCGCACCTGAAAACACTAAATTCTCAACTCTTCCCGGCGCTCTGGACTTCGGGTTGGCCTTTGCGTCGCAAGTCACCCGTTCACCCTGCAGGGCAGAGAGCTCCTGAGGGACCAGGGTACCTTATTTGGGGGTCCTTATAATAAGGATCCTATTTTATAGGCTGCTATATTAGGATACAGTATGCTTTTGGTTATGCTATATCGCATCGTACTGCATTGATTCACCGCAGTGCTCCCGGGAGCTCTTGTTCGGAGATACACCGAAGCCTGAATCCAAAAACACTTAAAGGTATGTCGAAACATCTTTCTTGACCTCACGGTATGGCAACGTCATTCACATGACAATCGCCTCCTGCTGCCCTAACCGGAGGATCGAAACGAGTCGAGCACAGAACCGACACCTCAGCTCTTTAGACTTGATGCCCTAACAGCTCCTCCTTGAGGGCTCGGTTGCGCTCTCGCAGGGAGATGCTGTCGCTCTGATGACTTGGAGCACGTTGGCGGAGCCATCGCATCATGAAGGACTCCGGATCCTGACCAAGTGGTGGTGTGTGGTCACACAAGAAAGGCACTTTGAAATTTACACCGCCAGCCCAAGTCGAAAGTGACGATAAGAAAGGTTGAGGCAAGTGAGGTTAGGGAACATTTTGCTCAGTCAACCTCCGGCATCGCACCCAGCACGTCGCTGACGAGCTCTATCGCCAGGGGCTGCACCGTCGCCACGAGATACCGCTCCTTCCCGAAGACTCCAGAACCCCGTGTTGATTAAGGAACATACCATCGATCTATTATGTCTCTGTAGTTTGAGGTATACTGCTCAGTTACGGGATCTTTGGGTTCGCTAATTTCAAACACCATGCGAATACTTACGACCACAGCATCTAGCGCAACATGGGCAGTTGTCACCCTTTGCATGGCGGCACGGAACTTGCATGGCGGGTTATGGCTTCACGATCTGTATCTGCAGACCTCCCAACTCGCTGAATATGACGGCTATGATAAGGAGGAGGAGGAGGAGCAGGAGCAATGCGAAGATGAGGACTTGCCAGCCGCAACACTGCAACCCCCCTTCGCATTGGCCTGCTGGGCTGATCGCGACGAAGGTTCGGATTTTGTAGTCTCAACCTGTTGGTCATCAGAACGGTGAGAGTGACAGAATCACTTGGACGTTTCTGCGAGTGCTTGGGGAAAAACTACCTATCAGCCCTGGTATGTCACGTTGCTGCTGCTGAGGTGGAACCGTCCAGGTCGCATCATCCAAGATTGAAGCCTTGTCAACGGCTCTTTGCTATTCTCTCGTTCTTAGCTAAACGTCTCTCTACGATCTACATGCACTGGAAGACTTCAAACAAAGCCATTCATCCGAAAATCAAGGCCGGCATAGCACGTCCCAGGCAAAGACCGCTGTACACTCGTATGCACGACGCTCGGAGCTAATCAGCGGACAACCAGTGTTGGACAGCCCACAACTCAAAAAAACGAAGCTGCGTGCAAAGATCCCAACTAGTCTCACAGGTCGCACTCGACATCGGTACATATGCTCTGCAAGTATCCAAACACCCTTGCAGCCGGATCTCCAAGACGAGAAAAATCCTCTGCCAGCCCAAATAACACCAAATGCCAAAGATAACCCCACAAGCCGTCTGAACCCTGAACCCTACTGTAAACCCAAGGGGGCCTCCTCCTTGGCCCTAAACCCTAAACCCTAAACCCTAAACCCTAAACCCTAAACCCTAAACCCTAAACCCTAGAACCCTAAACGTTTCGGGCATCCGTGGGTTCCTCGGAAGCAAAAGCGCGGTGAGAGCTGGGAGGGCCCGGGCGTCGAGGCTTCTTAGTCGAACCTGCATTCTTGTTAAGGGAATTAATTGAAATTACCATAATAGGGATCTATAGTAATTATATAATGAATAGTGTTTCCTTATTATGCCCAACCAGTAATTTTCTGTCGCTGGCTTCGAATGTGCGTGTTTGTTACGGGAATTAATTGAAGTTACCATAATTGGGATCTATAGAACTTAATGAATATGGTTTCCCTATTATGCCCAACCAGTTTAACAATATGTGGGACGGTATCGAAGCCAGCCCTTGTGAAGATGCATGAAGTAGGGCCGTGCATTACTAGTCTCCCCAAGCACTCACCCAAATCTGTACCGTAAACCCTGCGTCATAATTGTCACTGAACAACCCTGGTAAAATCCCTATATACCTTGATGAAACCCTAACACGATCGGAAAACGCGACAAGCCGACTCTGTACGACCTATGTAATAAAGCAACTTGCGCAACACTCATCGCCTTCCCTAGCTTCTGGGTGCTGCGTGCTGTGCTGCGACTCGGGCATGCCACTCCGGATGGTTGATGTTACAAGGAAGAACAATACCCACATTTCATATGTCGAACCCTTCAAAGGTTTAAGGTCTCTGGGACGTGGCCGGATCTTGGCACAGCGTTTCTGTTAGTGTTCGAAGACGTTACGATGCCATCAACAGGCTTGGATCCGTGCAGAGACCTTGGTCACGCAGTGCGGGCGAACGAAGATCCCGTGCCTGCCAGGATGTACCACGAATGTCCAAGGACTTTGCGGCATCGGGCATCAGCTGTATCAGAGAAGCAGGCAATCCTTGCAGAAAGAAACAGAACTGATATGGAACAACTGTTTTGAAACACCGGCAGGCCACCCTGGCTCGCACTGGAAGTACGTCTTGCCCTTCACACTGCCGTTGTTCTTGCCGACCTGTGACTAACTGGGCTCAAAGACTTACGCTTGCTCTAGCAAGGCCTCCCTGTTGCCACGCATGTGTTGTCTTCTGCACTTGTTATCTTCAACGCCGCGGGAGCGATTGCTGAGGTATCTCATCGTGCCTGGCGGTCAAGCTCCAAGCCGAGCCACTCCTCAGCAGTCATGAAGTGAGGTGAGCACACCTGCGTGTTTGCATGTTTCATGGAAGCTTTCGTATAGGTAGGTTTCTAGGTATGGAGGTAGGTAGGTGGACAGGTAGGTTGGTGTGTGGATAGGTCGGTGTGTGGAGGATATGAAATACCTGCATCTCAGCATGCAAACGCCGTAACGCAGGTGGCTGTAGCTGGCTTTCCACAAGATGTGTCTGGCACTGAGGAGCTCTCCGATTCAATAAAGCATGCACAAGGATGCACAGGGGCTCTGTTTGGAATGAGCTGCCCTTCAACATGAACACCTCTATTTTAAACGAGATGCACCTCAACACAACGTCGCTGGACCTCTGCACTTCATCATTATCTCATCTTGAAGCCTCAACTGGCCCGGTGCAAGGCCCTTCCGTTCCATCGCATGACGCGGCTGCTTTCTAGGAAGATTCCTGTGGCACCGGGTACTTCTGCTTGACGCCCTGCGCAAAGCATGGGTTTAGACTCATTTCGACTCTGTACCACTTGCCCTGCGGATACCTGTGCCCTGCCATGACAGCTTGTAGCGACGGCATTCACGCATTTTAATCTTGAGGCCGTTTGTCAAGCAGTGAACATCCACGAGGCGAAGGACCTCCACAGTTAGTGCGGCTCTGAGCATTCAACATTGTCATTGCCGGGAGCAGAAGCAGGGTTTGCCAAAGTGAGCCCGACCCGAAAACTTTTCCCTGTGGTCTCCGTGGGGGGCTAGAAGACAGGAAGAAACACGAGAAACTCGATGGCGGACAACAACTCTTCAAAGAACTGAACCTGTGTGCACATATCTATCTATCTAGATGTCTCTACTGAAATGTACATGCACAAATACTCGTGCGGATGACTACAGCTCGTTGAAGATAATGCGTGTTTGCATGTGCTTTGCACCTGTTCGATGCAACAGCACGCCTTTGCTGAACCGTCAAATCATGCACCCGAGACCCTGTAAGCCCTTACACTGGGACCTTCATCCAGCCCACACCCAAACATCAGTGTGTGTGTGTGTGTGTGTAATCTTACGTGTTGGTTGATAAAGGAATCGCCGAGCGTCGCCGGGGGCAAAGGCCGCCTCGCCGACGAAGCGGACAGTGCCAAGCAGCACCTCCTTGCGAGCTGGCGTCGGCATAGGGCTTTGAGGGCCCCAAGCTGCTCTTTCTATCTCTTTCTTGAAAGTATGTTGGGCGAAAAGGCCGCCGAAGCTAGCACGAGGACAAGCTGCGACACTCTACCGAAGAAACCTGGGAAGACACAGTTGTGAAAGAACCGCAACCCCACGCAGAAAATCGACGAGAAATTGGCTTCGCTGGTGTCGCCTTGTCGGCTTGCGGGCCGCCCTCGCCACGAATCTCCACTCGGTCACCACCCACTAAGGACATGAGAGAGCAAGTACACTCAGCTTCGGAGTGTAAGTGATGAGCAAAATGCTGCAGGCGAGCAAACATTGCGATGGTCACAAGGAAACAACACATCAGCAGTTCCGAGCTGCCAGACATAAACCAGCATCTTACCCTTCTCAATCGAGCCTGCAAGCAAATCCGCTCTTTGTAACATGAAATTGGCAAGCAATGGTGGCACGCAGCTTGGCAGTCTCCCACGCCTCTCTCCCACAACATCTGAAGTGTTCGCAATGCTGTGAGAGCTGAGGTTCAACGCTGGAGCCCGAGCAAAGCCCTGAAGCCAACAGCCCAAGAGGTCCCCCCCGGCAGATCAATTCCGCCCTTTGCCGGGCGGGTTGAAGATTTTCAATCCAAGATGCCTCTTTTGAAATTTAAGGCGTCCGCCCAGCATCTCTTTCTGCGGCTTTCCGCATTTGGAGTTGAGAGCCCCATTCCCAACATTCTGTGCACGAACGAGCCCGGCGAGCCCCTGACGCCAAGAAGCCCCCCAGGGGCAAAATCCATCTTTTCGGGATCCCAGACTCGCGATGTCCTCAAGGTACGGCCGATGTCTGTGAAGGACAATAGGGCAGGATCCTTCTAAGGTAGCTCGGTCGCTCTCCCTTTTTTCGCCGCCATCTTCATTGCGGTCAGAGTCGAGGCTGAATTGCGCCACTCCGCCTTAACCATTGGCAACCCTAACTCCTCAATCCCATAACCTGAGCCCCACGCCCCGCGACCTGAACCCTGAGGCTAAACCCCGCCTCACCCAACAGCCAGCCGATTTCAAGTCGCTCGAGGGGGCGGTGCAGCAGGGGGTAATACGCAGAATACTGATGCAACGATGTTGCAACAAACATGTACCCACAGTACATGATGCCGAGTGTGTTTGATGCCTGTGCCTGCTTGTTTGCAGGACCCCAGGAGTGGTGCTTACGTGCTGTAAGTTCCTGGCGTAGGCTGATTAAAAATACCTGGCAGCATGGACAGCTTGCCGATACATATCTGCTGTCATGCAGTTTTTGAGCTTGGGGCGCGTTTCCGCGCGTACTTCAGATCAGATGCTTTCTGGGACTTTGTAGAATGTGGACCACGCCGAGACTAATTCCTCACCGACAACCGACAGAGGAGTGGTGCTCGGTCAAGTTCTGAACTTTTTTCAGCAGATGGTTTTCGAGCCGCTTTCTTGATACAACAACATGGTGCAGTTTGTTTACGCAGCACGCAACAGTTGAGCAACCAACATGTTGAACAAGGTCGCTTGCTCTTGCTTGTGCATGTCTGCATGTTTTGCCGGATTGAGCCGTTTATGGGACGGGCATGTCAACATGATCTCAAGAAGCGCCTTGCATGGCATGTTTTTGCAATCTGCTGATCACAACAACCAGTGTTTTGCCACATGTGTGATTTTGCTCCACATATGGTTTTGTTTTCATGAATCCGAGACCTTGGACGAAGTATACCTGTACGAGGAAGTTTTTTGCGATTCGAAAGAGATCAGTTTTATCGCTGTCGTGCTGCGAAGAAAGACGGGGTGCTCATAAGTCATTTTGTGATGCACGGCCTGCGCAAGTTGCGGGCATGAAGCGATATGTCGGTCATGCTAGGGCTAAGACAGCGGGCTTGGATTCCAGCTTGCGTCGCTGGCAGCCATCCCCCGCTCATATTAGCAGTAGCTTCTGCAGTTGGTTGTAATTGTGCGAGGCTTCATTGTGCAATGAGCGCACATTTTCAGCCAACCCCAACTCCCCCAGGGCAATGGGTGCCTGGCTCATGGGGCACATCCGGTAGTGCATTGACTCCACAGGCCCCACCAGCAGACCCATCAGTTGCCTCTTGGCAGTCTCAGCCGGGGCCACACCCGGCGATCACCGGTGCGGCATGGATGCAGCATCAACAGGGAAAGGGCCAGTATGCGATGACTCCGCAAGGTCTTGTTTCGGGCTCTCCATTTGGTGCTCTGTCGTGGGAACAAGCTCCTTCGCAAGGTTCTGCGGACACGTTTTCTGCAGAGTATGCCGGCAAGGGTGTGCCCGCACACCACTTTCAATCAGCTCCTCCAGGCGCATGGCAGCCTGAAGGTGTTCCGGATGCTCACCGCAGACGTCGACACCGTTCTCGCTCCCCTCGCAGATCAACTAGTACTGATGTCCTGCAAGCTCTACAACCGGGAGGCGTGAACTTGTTCCGGGAAGTCTTCCATCAATTACCGCAGGAATTCCGAGCAGTGACCCTTGAGGCTCCACCGGGTTTGGTCGTCGACACGCAAAGCATCACCAACCAAGAGGATCGTATGTCCATGTGCAGGAGGCTGAACGACCTCCGCAGGGAGCGACTGGCTCCCCTTGCATCTCCAGCGTCGGCGCCATTCTATCAGGAGGATGGCTTCAAATGTGTACCTATGAGTCGTCAAACTGAGAAGCACTTTTGGGACCTGTTCCATAGGCTCCCTGTGGCCACCACTGATGCTTCCAGATGGAAAGCCGTCTTGAAGCATGTTGACCAATGCCCTGAGAAGCCTAAGAGCACCCCAACCTCCAGGGACGTGGAGTGGGCTTCCGCTGACTTGCAAGATGGACATGCAGCTACTGTGAATTCCCCTCCGCGGACCGCGCGCCAGCAGACTTCGAGTTTCCAGGCCTTGCAGGATCTGGCTGCGGGCTCTCCTCTCAAGCCGGGTCTCCCACTCGCTGGTGAGGAGGACTACGCGACATGGGTCAAAGGCCGTGTTGATGTTGATACGGCCAACCTGTCCTGGACCTCGCTGGAGCTGGACACCAAAGCCCACAAGTTCTCTAAAAAGATGTCTGCGGAGAAGGCCTTGAAGTCCTTGCCGCCGCTCGAGGCTATGGGCGAATTATTCACCGTGGTATACAAGATCTATCTCCGGAAGCTTGAGAAGCTGTGTACCAATTTGAATACGCGTTCCAAGGAAGGTAAGGCTCTCAAAAAACTTTGTGACGACCTGAACGTGGAGAGTGATTCGTCATTTCCTGACCTAGTTGCGAGGCTGCGTGCATCGGAGATTATGCACAAGCCTTTGTGACTCCGTCCGGACCCGGAGGTCTGTAAAGTTTTGCGTGCGATGCTTGATGTCATCCTTCTTGTCCGCTTTCGCACCCTGGCATCCCCTGGGCGTTGGAAGGCGCAGATTGTGCTTCTCCGAGTTTCGGGTAGCGTCTTTTTAATGTGGCTTCAGTCTCGGGAATCGAGGCGGAATGCCCGGTTGCTTCAGCACATAGGTTGTGATCCATGGGACTTGGGATGGAGTCGTCTGTGGACCGAGCCATGTTTGTATATTTGTCTGCCTGTGCCCCTGAAAGCGTGCAAGCATGGCATCGTTGTGTATGTCGGTGAGACCGTGTCGTTCCAACGGCGGTTCGAAGAGCACATCTTGCGACTTTTGGACCCGAATGGACAGACTCAGCAGCCTTTTTATCACTTTGTACGGCGAGGTTGTGTGAGTGATTCGCATCTCCTTGCCGCTGTGAGTTTTTTCATGCTGCTTCCCGTCTCCGCTGCTTCGCATGATAGACGAAGCCGCCTGGAAGCTGAAGCTTCCTTGACGGCCGCTCTCGGGACATTGAACCCTCCGCGTGTGTACAGTATCGCTCGGATGACGGGCCGAAAGGGCCTTGCTGGGTTTGGGTACCGGATTTTTGGAACTTTTAGGCCTCTGTGCCGCATACGCTCCCGTAGCAGGGGCTCTTCACAAAACCCTTTGACGGCAAATGGGCATGCCAGGAGGGATGACTGGAAGGCTGGCCTGCGTCTCACTGCTGCTGCTCTTTGTGGGCACCGTTTTCCGGGATGGCAACAAGCAGCTAAGTCTGCATGGGCGCTCAGCCCGGGAGCTTGGGCCTTTGTGGCCAACCACATTGATCGTACAGTTCAAGGTTTCCGTCGACGGCGGGGGCTGAACATGCTGCGTAAGATAGCTGTTCGGCGGCGTGATCTTTGTTTTCCGATTTCAATCGTCAGTTTTTCCATACCGTGGCTTGGGTCTGAGCGTGCGCGGCAGGTGGTACTGCGAACCTTGCGCCGACTCATTTCTTCATGGCGTTCGAAGGGGTGCTGGGTCCCTATCTTGCGTCATGCGAAATGCTTTGTCACTTGGTCTTCCACTCCGAAAGTGAAGGACCTCCTTTCGAATTCGCGTTCCATGAACGACTGGCTAGCTGAAAAATCATGTCCTGCCTGCCGCTGTGCGGAGCTCCGGCAAGCTGATCCTTCATGGCCCACTGTAGTGGTTGATGGCACACCGCATGTTGCCGCCTCACAGGGCACCGTCCCATGGCCTGAGAGTCTGCAACACCTTGCACGGTGGCCAGCTAGTTTTGCCTTACCTCCCACTTGGGATGATCTTGCTTCGGCGGTTCGCGAGGCCTTCCGAGGTCTCCGTAGGCGCTGTCGCATTCCTCAAGATGACCCCTGTACTGACAGGGTTATCGTTGAATGTACAGCGGAACTATGGTCGCTTTTCTCTTCTGGGATTGGTGGTGCCACACCCATCTCGCATGGAGATATCCAAGCTGCAAAGACGTGGCTTCGGGGCATGTTTGTGACTGTTTTTGACCACAACCTTTCCTGTCTGGCCATCACGTGTCAAAAATTGGCATATGAGCAGGCCTGTAAGCTGCTTGATCTTTCAGGCCCGCTGTCGGAACCCAACATTGTGTGGGAACAAGCTGATACCAAGGCGCTGCAGGATGCTATTGTACAGATGGCGGTTGTTCCCGGTTTGAAGGATGAGTTCCTGATGCCGAACAAATTCACAAAGGTTCCCAAGCATCAATGGCAGCTCGGAACTGTGGCTGTTCTTCCCAAATGGAAATCGCCTGGACTTCGCTGGCGGTTGATCATACAGAAACACGCCACACCGTGTTGTTTGCTGCATTCCGTCATCTCCAGGGCTCTGGATGTTTTGTTGGACCGATTCCCGTATCATCTTTGGTCGGATTTCATGTCAATACAGGATGTTGTTGACATGGTCCATGATTTTAATGTACAGTCCAGACAACTGAGGTACGACTCCGGATACACTGTTGCAGGGGACATGAAGGACTGTTTTCGGCACCTGCCCTGTCCAGACGGTGCGCTCATGTGGACGGCTCTCTCGGCGTGGTGGCGGGATCAGCACGTTCAGGGTGTAAGCATCCTTCGAAAGAGCGCTGACGGCAAAGGGTGCTTGGGCATGTGTACAGATCCCGGCTGGATTTACTGCTCATTTGATTCCA